TCTCTGATTGCAAACTCGTCACTGCACTATTGCATCCTAGCCTTTATACTCAACTTATTCAAAATGTATCGAGAACAACCACACTCCTGAAGATGTCATCCAAAGACGACATGTCTTCCAAAAAATTGGAGGCCATCTACACCAGGTTTCACTAAATCTACAGGTGGCTCGTCTTCTTGAGAAGCATGATCGCTGTGAATACTCGTATCAGATTTAACAGTGGTTGCGAATTCCCTGAATCCAAAGAAAGCTGCTTAAATAATTAAGAGAAAGAGATCTATTTAAATAAACTAATTTTCATAAACTTAAGTTCAAAACTAGTGCCTCCATCCTGTTGAAAACTTCGCTTGAAGGCCGCTTACTATTTTTCCTATCATTCTTAATTTTTCTTCAGAATTTTCCAGAGAATTAACGGAAAGAAACAATTACTATTTACTGACTGACTCAACGCACATAAATCCAAAAATCACTACTCCAAAAATCCTTGTCAAGCTGCATATCGAAAGGAAGTACTCTAGAAGTATAAATTCAAACGGAAGAATCAGGAACTACAACCAGTATTTATGCCTTTACATTCGCCATCATAAAGCATATCACTTTTGCTGTCTTTGTAATATGGCACTGCTTGACAAAAGTTTAATCATAGAGTTTATCTCCTGAACAGAAAATGAGCACTTATTTAATAGGCGGATGAAATTTGTGAATATGCCTGACGGATTATATGAGAAAATGTGCAAAAAATAAGATTCTTCTTCGAGGATGAATAACCAGGGCCTGAGAAACCTGGTGCTATGACGTTGGCTAAGCTTGTACATTCGTGCTACAAACATACAGACATACGAACCAATCTGCCAAATTAATGAAGCATACCAATGACTTGCCATGCCACTTGCAAACACACGCCATTTAACGATTCAGTGAACGGGTAGCAAATTTATCAAGTTATTAATAGTTATTAATATAGTTAATTTATTAAGTTGGGTTGCGTTAGAGCAGCACGGAAAGCACCGATATTCCAAGCATGTTCAATTCAGCTTTATTAGAGAAATTCAGCGTACTGCGCTGCACATGTTATTGTTTTCATGTTTGGTCGCAGCCACCACATACTTGCAGATGATCATTTGTGACTAATTTGTGAGTGAGGCTAGCGCGAGTCTTTAGATTCAAACTCAAATTGCAGCATTTGCTCGACTGACGACGCATCGACCACTGACGTACGAGCTTAAATCTCTTTTCCGCAT